ATGATCTTCTCTTATTACACACAGATGGTATAACTTACCTTTTTTTACTTTTTTTATACCAAAACTCCATCAACTAACTTATGAATAGTAAATAAACATTTGTCAACATCTGTTCTACTATGTAAAAACAATATACAGATAAACATGAGTAGTTAATTAAACAAGCACTGACGAAGTAAAAAAAAATAGTTAATTACTGGGCATGGTGGCTCACATCTGTAATCCTAGCATTTTGGGAGGCCGAGGCAGTCAGATTGCTTGAGTCCAGGAGTTCAAAAACAGCCTGGCAACATGGCAAAACCCCAACTCTACAAAAAAAAAAATAAAAATTTCGCCTGGCCTGGTGGCACATGCCTGTAGTCTCAGCTACTCGGGAGGCTGAGGCTTAGGTAAGATCATGAACCATGATCATGCCATTGCACTCCAACCTGGGTGACAGAGTGAGCCCCTGTCCCAAAACAAAAAATGAAATAAAATAAATAAGTTCTTTACCTATAACATAACAATCCTGCCACACATAAAATAACAATATTTCTATCAAAACACCTATTTTTCTACTATTTTAAATCTAAAATTAAATGGAAATAATCCTTACAGATATTCATTAATCAAAATGATCCACAATACAATGCTTCTAGAATACATAAAGATGACCATAAAAGGAAAGTGAGTATATCTCAGCAAGACAACTGCAATGGCATTTTTGGTTATTATTGAAAAATTTAAGTTTAATAAAACTTTAAAAAGGGTGAAGGGCATCCTTAAAGGTAAACATAAATTATTAAAATCAGTTTTAATGGCCAGGGACACTGACTCACGCCTATAATCCTAGCACTTTGTGAGGCTGAGGCGGGCAGATCACCTGAGGTCAGGAGTTTGAGACCAGCCTGGCCAACATGGTGAAACCCTGTCTCTACTAAAAATACAAAATTAGTCGGGCATGGTGGCGCACGCCTGTAATCCCAGCTGCTCAGGAGGCTGAGGCAGGAGAATCACTTGAACCCAGGAGGCAGAGTTTGCAGTGAGCCAAGATCACGCCACTGCACTCCAGCCTGAGCAAAAAAAAGAGCGAAACTGTGTCTCAAAAGAAAAAATAAATAAATAAAAATAAAAACAAAAGCAATTTTAATAAATTCCTAACTTGATCTTGAAATTAGTGCCCTAAAAATGGAGCAGTAACATAATTAAGTCAATCATCTTGTCTCAATATTAATGGTTAATGTAGAAACAGGTATAAAGGAAAATTTCTCAGAAAGATGAGATTGTTCATTGTTCTTGTGGATATGTAAAAACAATGCTGACTGAAAAGCAGCCAACTGGACAGCTGCAGATGCTGAACCCAATGGAAACACTAAGCAGGCATAGCACAAATCAGTAATTAACAAAGCACATGCAGAAAGCTTGATGAGGGTGAATAATTGCATAGATGGGAATAGTAAAAGGAGCTGGTAACAGTACAAGTTTTATAAGAAATTGGATAAACTCTTTGTATTCATGAATTTGTTAGCAAGAGTGCTTCAATAATACACAGATAATAGATTTTTTAAATGTTTTGATTACATTGATAAATACCTTTATATGGTACTTATCACTAAAGAAATTTAAAAATGGTCCACAGGAAAATATTGGTAGGGTGAACATAAAAATAATTATAAAAGTAAAGAATGAAATAATATTTCAGGTAGGCTAACTACAGAGGCATCAAATTTGTTTATTTTTGGAATTCTTAATTTTAATGACATGTTGAAATTAGAATACACAACATTTTATAATTTTTATATGTATGTATGCATGTACATATATATACACACGCATGTATTTTGTAGAAAATCTTCCCGGCCGGGCGTGGTGGCTCAAGCCTGTAATCCCAGCACTTTGGGAGGCCGAGACGGGTGGATCACGAGGTCAGGAGATCAAGACCATCTTGGCTAACACAGTGAAACCCCGTCTCTACTAAAAAATACAAAAAACTAGCCGGGCGATGTGGCGGGCGCCTGTAGTCCCAGCTACTCGGGAGGCTGAGGCAGGAGAATGGCGTAAACCTGGGAGGTGGAGCTTGCAGTGAGCTGAGATCCGGCCACTGCACTCCAGCCTGGGCAACAGAGCGAGACTCCATCTCAAAAAAAAAAAAAAGAAAAAAAAAAGAAAATCTTCCCTACTAGTCAGGACTTTCCTTGAGGATAGGTATCATGTTTTGTTATATACTCCAAAAACACCAAGCCCAGTGTCTTCTATAAAAATAAATACCTGTGGAATCAGGAAGATAATATATATCTTGGTTACTTAAAATATAATGAAAATAGGCAATATGATTAAACATACTTTAGTAAAAGCATTCAGAGTAAACTGCACAGACACTGAACATATGACTTGGTAACATCTTTTAGGAGGCTTTCTTTTTTGAGAAATAGCTCTTAAACTACAGTGACAGACTTTTTTGAGAAATAGCTCTTAAACTGCTCTTAAACTGCAGTTTAAAAACTAGAAATTTGTAGAGGTATAGATGCATTTATAGCAAACTTGGAAAACAGCTTTCAGAATTCTGGGTATATAAGGAAGCCAACAGCATGGTTCATTTAGAGCCTTTTTCCTTAGGACATATGTTGCAAGAATTACTACTCTTACAAATGCAACAGATTCATTGCTCATTACTATAGCAAGTGTTTTAACCCAAAGCAGATTTGTTCTTCATCTATTGGTCCATTTGATATAATTCCATATTATTTTAGTTATCATTATAAATGCACACACTTTCTATTGTCTACTTATTCATTAATTCACAAATATTTACTGAGGGCCTGCTACGTGCCAGTTACTCTTCTTGGTGCGGGGATATAGCAGTGAACAAACAAAAATCACTGCACTTGTGGAAATTTTATTCTAGGGATAAAATATCAGACAATAGTCATGATAAATCAATAAAATATGTAATAAATTAGACAATGTTAAGTGCTAAGTAAAAAAATAAAGCAGAGAAGGGCTATAGGAAATATGAAGGAGTAGAATTTTAAATAGAGTGGCCAGGGAAGGGTTCACGAAGAAGTGACATTTGGGTTAAGTCCTGAGGAAGCAAGGGAGATAGTCCTGCAGATATCTGAGGGTAGAACATTCCATGCGGGGAGAATTCCAAGTTGCAAAGGCCTTGAGGTGAAATAGTGCCTGGAATTGAGGAATATCAAGGAGGCCAGTGTGTCTATGGGGGAGAAAGTAGTTGGAGATGAGATCAAAGAGGTGACAGGAGGCTAGGTCATAAAGGACTTCACAGGAAAGGAAGCCACTGAAGGTTTTGAACAGAGTGACATGATCTGATTTTTTCACAGGTTCATTCTGGCCACTGAGTTTTGAGAACAGTGTGAAAGAGGGTAGGGTGGGAATACAGAGACGGTCTACAAGACTGCTATAATCCAGACAAGAGGTGGTGGTGGCTTGAACCAGAGTGGTAGCAAGTGGCTAGACTCTGGATGTATTTCGAAGATAGTATTCACAGGATTTGAAGACAGAATATGAAGTGAGGTTATCCAGTATTTGTGATATAGTTACATTTCCACTGTTCTCTCCTAAGTGATGAAAAAGAAACAATTTCTCACAAGTTGTCTGACATTCTCAGAGTTTGACGGTCCTGATATTCAACTTTCTTTTGTTCCTGAGTTTGAAAACACACCCCATTATTTCCATGTCTTACCTCAGCCTTGAGGATGAAGACGAGATGTAACTGTCTGAAGACTGACAGTTGCCAGCACTATCTCATGAGCTCTTCCTAGACTGTAAGCTCCACTAGGCTTATTTCATTCCCCTTGATGTCCTCAAAGCCTGACTCAGAACCTTGCACACGTTAGGGTCTCAAAAAATGTTTGTTGAATGGTTTAGTCTACATTTCCCATTCCCACTGTTTTTTTTTTTTTTTAAGTTTCACGGTGTCACCTAGGCTGGAGTGCTGCAGTGGCGCGACCATGGCCCACTGCATGCTCACCTCCCAGACTCAAGCAGTCCTCCCGCCTCGGCCTCCCGAGTAGCTGGGACTACAGAAGTGCGCCACCACAATTTGTTAATTTTTTGTGTTTTTAGTAGAGTTGAGTTTTCGCCATGTGGCCCAAGCTGGTCTCCAACTCCTGGCCTCCAACGATCCACCCCCCTTGGCCTCCCAAAGTGCGAGGATTACAGACATGAGCCACCGCGGCCTGCCTCCCAGTTACTGTAAAAGATTAAATTTTCACACTTGCTAATGTGAAAATGAATAATAAACTGAAAATAACATTAAGCCCTTATCAATTGCAGAATCACAAGCTACAGTGTGAATTTCAGTATTAAGGATAGTATGCTGGGGTACTGTCAAGTGGTCATTGAGCCTCTTGCACTTTTCACTCTTACTAGCTCAACCTAAAGGTGTTTTAGCTTCCCCGCACCTCCTAAGCGGAAGGACTGGCTTTGCTATTTGCAGTTAGGGCCGAGTGTCACAGAGCACCATGGAGTTCAGTCCCCTTTAAACGGGTACAAACGTCTCTGAAAGATCAGTCAACATGCGTTATCCGACTAGCGGGAGACCCCAGCCGCTCGCGGGCACAGCCACAAGCCCTGGAGACACTAGCCCGCGCTGCGCACGCCGG